CCATTAGAAACTGTACCCTTTAGAAATTTTTTAACCAGGAAGGAAAACGAAAAGCAAAAAAACACCATGAAACCACCCTGAATTCTTATTTAAGCATTACAGCCAATGGTTTAACAATATTTTGGGCTATTTTTAGAGAATACTCTACTACCAGGATATGAAGTTTTCTACTTAGAGTGAAGTAAAAGACAAGGCTTAAAAAGGAAATTGCAACTGACATACTATGGTTCTGCAATTAAAATTAAAGTGGCAGTTCCTGTTCTCACGGGCATGTCAAAGCCGGCTGCGGAATGAGGAACATCAAGTGAAATAATGGATAAAAATACACCAGAAGGGTATTGCACTGGAGGCACTGCTTCAAAAACAGAATACACTGGCTTTATAAAGTTATTTTCTTCCCCATTAATTTTTTTAAAAACACAAGTCAACTAAGAAGTTGAGACCCAAAGTCTCTGGGTAGTGTACTACAGTTGTTTAAAAAAATAAGTTAAAAACAAGAGCACACCAACAGGAAAGCAGAACTGGATTTATGTCATCTGAAAGCTACATTCATTAGGAAAAGAACAGTTTGAAACAGCCAATTTGTACTCATTAAAAATGAATGAGGTGACAGCATCACTTAAAAAAATTTCTTAGGGCATTTTCCAGTAGAACCCAGGACCTCCCCAGGTCAAACTGTGCCTCCGAACTTTAACAAGTGCTCTGCTGGTTTACAAAATCGTGCACGCCAATGAACCCATAAATTTGGAAAGGGTAAATTCTCCACTCAAAACTTGCTTGTGTCATTTTGGAAAAACAATTCTTGTAAATGCAATATTGTATAGAAAGCTTGGACCTCTTGAACTTGGACCAAGGAACCAATTAAGACCTTCAAGCATGTGGTGTGTATGTTTATATATATATATATATATATATATAAATCCCTCCCCTACAATGAAAACCAACCAAACAAAACAAAACCTAAAAGTGTATACCTGCTTTCTGACTTCACAGCAAATCAGAAATTGCATAGGATATACTTTGTGCAAGGCCAACAGCCTTTTAAGTATCTGGAATATAACTCCTAACCTTGCCCACAGTTCTGTGTATATCAGATATCATCAAATTTGTGTTTTAAGTAGTCTTTCATGACCTTGGCAATTGGTAGTTCATCAAGTAGCTTTAGGTTTTGGAGGCCTATACATTGTCGAATTTTAATTCGGCACAGGTCCTGCAAGTTTCTGGGCTGTCCTAAAAAGACAGAAAAGAAAGAGAATGTTACAAAGCTACAAAGTACAGCGTGGTGTTCAGGCTCTGAAGGGAACTGCTCATTTCACTGGAAACTGGCTCTCTCTATGGACTTCACATGCAAAGAATTAGATGCCAATGAAGAGGCATCTTCGTATGATGTCTCACTTGATCCTTTCCACAGCCCTGGATGGTCGATTTTCACCTCCATTTTACAAATAAAGACAATAAGTATCAGAGTTTTAAGTAAATTGCTCCATGTTGTAGGAGCAATTACAGCCTTTTAGACAGACTAAAACCAGCTTTTCTGATTGTTAAGCCTCATATTCTTTCCATTACAAATCAGAAGGCCGGTTCTCATCCCGGCGAGGTTTCTAATATACAGAATGAACCTGTGTGGGCCAATCATTCCTGCTGGGCCTCATTTCTTCATCTGAAAAGCGAAGGGAGTAGGCTAGCTGCTCCCTAACGGGGCTCCTCCTTTCAGCCCACTGTCTAGGACAATCAGACCCAGACCGGTAACAATCCCTAGGGGGTTTCGCACACAGTACTTGCCTGCTGGTTCACTGTGACTGGACATAGCAGGGCCTTGGTTCTGGGGATGACAGCCTAGACTGGGAAGGCTGGGGTGGGGCAGAAAAAGCACCCCAAACTATTCTGAATTCATGCCTCTTCAAACCTCACACCTTGACCATCTGCCAATAAACCTCTGCTATAACCCAACTCAAAAGAAAATTGCAAAATCCAATTTGTTTCACTGTTGAATACTATGTGTTACCAAAACAGCACAGATGACCATAAGTACAAGGAAAAATTCTCAGCAACAGTACATCAGCAGTGTTTGGATTCACATAAATTCTGCTTTCATATCAAATGGGAGTAGTAATACACACTAACATATATAGAACGCATACTCTGTGTCATGTATCATAAGCTCTTGACACATACGAACTCGTTTAATCCTTTATGAGGGAAGTACTTTGATCATAATCCCCATTTTACAGACTTCTCAAGTCTCAGAGAAATCAACACGCTCAAAGTCAGGTAGGACGCCAGACTTCAGCATTTCCCAGACTTCTTGGTCTCAAAACCTCTTTATGCTTTAAAAAATTATCGAGGAGCCGAAAGAACTGTTTATGTGGGTTACAGCTATCAATGATTACTATCTTACAAGTTTCAACAGAAAGTTTAGAAATATTAATTAATTCACTTAAAAATAAAAAAAGTAAACTTATTACATGTTAACATATATAACATTACTATGAAAATAACACTTTCAAAATAGAAGAATGGCATTCTTCAACATTTTTGCAAAACTTTTAAAGGTTTAACTTAATGGATGATAGCTGAATTCTCATATATGCTTCTGTATTTAATCTGTTGTGATGAAATCATATTTAGCCTTGGCAAAAGTGTATTCACACTTATGAAAGAAGGAATGTGAAAAAGGCAAATCATGTCTCAGCATTATTGTGAAAATCATTTTGAACTCAGATACACCTCATTTTGACCTCAGATGAAAGGGTCTCAGGGAACTGCATGAGTCCCCCCAGGCCACATGCAAAGAAACACGGCTATACTTAGTCCTTCCTCACTTACACAAATTGTACTTGTTTGTAGTGATCGCCATTATTCAGCATAATATAATTCTTCATAAACAAGAAAGGCTCCTTAAAACTCAGACTTCTGCTCTGTAAGGCCTGTATGAACACAGGCTTTCCAATAGTTACTTAAAACATGGTCTCTGAAGAGAATCATAGCAGAAGCCACTGCTTTCACAGAAATGTCTGTAAACTAGGGTCCTGTGTAAGTACAGATCTCAGCACACAGATCCATGCGGGGCTGTCACACACACACACACTCAGGTATCTCTTCAAGTACGTTTTCTCCATCGCCCACACCTCTGCTAAAAGGGAACTTCATTATGGGAGACAGGGTTCAGTTCTCCATCAGAAACTCCTTGGAGCTCCTACCCACTACCACTTAATGTGGCTGTGACTTTACGGTTATTTGGTCATTACCTATTAATGCCCGTCTTCCTCACTATATAACACGTGTTCTGGGAGGGCAGGACCACTTCTGGCTGCCAAGGTAAGCCCAATGCCTGACACAATACTCAACATGTACTAGCTGAACAAACGAATACTTAATAGGCTTGCCCTCAAAGCATAAAACAGTCGACTCACTGTAAAACAAACCCATGTCAACAACAAATCATTTTGTAACCTGTTTTGAATTACGTTTCATCACTATGGATGGGCTCCCATTAGGAGAATAAATTATCACTCATTTTTCAATAAATGCTGATAGTATTTGATCTGCAAATGCAAACCAGAATATAAATTAGATGTGTATCTTCTTTTCTCTAAGTTAAGAATTTGATTTTCCTAATAGATGGCAGGTTCTTTTCTAGTATAATACTAATAAAAACAAGCAAAATGTATTTAGGTAAAAAACAGATGAAGATAAAGTTGACACATAAAAGCAAACATGTATACTAAAGTGAAATGCACCCAACAAAGTGGAAAGACTATGTTACTGGAATTTGCTTAGCTAAGGTAAGAAGGGAAGGAGACAAAAGGTTACATAATGGGGCATCGTCTGATGGTCTCGTTTTGTGGCAGTTCGCATTCTCCAAAATGACCACAGTACACCTATGCCTAAAGCTCTTTTTTACAATGTGACTGGATACTCCCATCATTATGGGATGAAGCTTAGGTTCCAGATCCTTGAAACTGGGAAGCCTCGTGACTGTGCCTGAAGTGATGCTCTGTGGCTGCTATGGCTAAGCCATAAAAGGTGACTTGGGTCTTGGAACATCCGCTCCTGGAACACCATGCTACAAAGGAGTCCGGGCAGGCTGTAATAAGGACGTGGGGTCACGGCCCCACCATTCTGGCTGAGCTGCTAGCGTCCACTTGTTGGCCACCTGAGGGAGCCATTTTGGGTGAAAACGGGAAAGCCCCCGTTAAGCAACTCCATGTGACACTGCGCAAAGCAGACAAGTGAAATAATCAGCTATGACTGGTTAAGCCACTAAATTCTGCAGCAGTAGATAACCGAATGAGACTCTGGGCCCTAGAAGGAGGGTGCTGCCATAAAAAGAATTCTAAAATATGTGGCTTTATCACTGGAGCAAGGCAGTGGTGGGAAGGGCTTTGAGGAGGCTGTTGGCAAGGCTTAAACGTAAGTGTTTTAGAAGTTACTAGAAGCTGGAGGAAAGGAGCCTTTCATTAGCAGTAGGAAGTTTGGCAACACTCTCACCTGTGGTACGTGTCAAAAAATGCCCTAATGATCTAGTTCGGAAGACTTCCCAGACAAAACACTGGAGGTATAACTGGCTCTCCTCATTGTCTATGATAAAATGCAAGAGGGCAAAGATGAGCTGGCAACTTTAATTCAAGGGATGAAACTACAGAAACACTACCACCCTCAGAAGTCATCTCTGCATGAAACCTTCCTTGAGTAAAATGCACTTTCTATGCCTAGATATTGTTAAGTTTTACTCAGTTTACTACTGATTTTTTTTTCCTTGTTAGGCAGTATGTTGTGGCAACATACTGTGGGAGAATCTGATCTTTTAAAGATTTCTTGATCATGTGTGGTTCCTATCTGCAGAAAGACCTTTAATGGTAGAGGCATATCCTAGTGGTTAAAGGCATCAACTCTGGAGCCAGGGACATGGGTTTGACTCCTAGACACACCATCCGCAGTCTGATCTGGAGCAATCTCCTTAGATCTCCTTAGCCTCCGACTCAGTCTCCTCATGCACAAACTGAAGACAACGGTACATACATCACAGGCTTCATAAACATAAAAAGAGTTAATTTTGGTAAAGTGCTTAGAATAGTACGAGGCACATAGTAAAAGCCTATATAAGTATTTGGGAAATAAATGTTAAAATAGTAAGTTTTAAATACTTGCAAAGATAATGTTTACATCTCCTTCCCAGATAAGCACAGGCATCCTTCTTGGAAACTGAAGTCTCCATCTTTTTGGGGTTAAGACAGTCAAGAAAGCTGGTTGACAGGTTAACAGCAAAGGAACAATTAGTAATCCATTACTGAGAAACAGTCCTGGGCAGACTGATGGAAATCGTATTCTGGAAATCACTGCATGAGTTGAAATGCGCAGATGTGTGAGAACCTTAACTGTGATGTGTAAAAGCCTGTACAGTGATGAAGTGGGGGATGCCATTATGCTACTGACCCACAGAGGCACAGACAGTAACTCATCTTGCCAGGGACCAGCACTGAGGGGAAAGTGGGCTAAGTGACAGAGTAATAATAAGGAGTACTCACTGACATTATTGTTATTTCTAAGGCTAGCTGACTAAGGAGATACTTTTTCAGGAATATCATTTTAGGATAGAAGATTATAATTGAAAAAGAAGTACTTTCTTGTCAACACATTCCTCAAAAGCATTTACTGAGTACCCCGTGAGAACTCAAAAGCGCACTGTCCCAAAGATTTAAAGGGTGGGGGCGGGGAGAGGAGGAAAGGTCAGAGGAAAAGGAGGCAGAGAAAGAATAAAGGGAATGAAAGCAAAAAAAACCCAACAACATACACATGCACTGTGTTTACTGGGGTCCTGAACAGTCATTCCCACCCTGCTAAATAACAACTGCCTTGTCCATGGGAGTGCCTGGGGGAACCCATACTAAGAGTATAATTTAAGCAATTATGAACATTTTGGGGGATGCAGAAACACTACAGGTATTCATCCTAATGAACTACAATGGAATACACAATAGTTCAAAGGGTTACCAGTCTTCCCATTTGGTAAAGAAGCCCATCATTAGTAGGAATTGGGCTGGCGTAAACCAGGAAATCAACTTTTGAAGGGTCTGGTCTAGTAGAAATTACAAAACCAGGCAGCAGTGTAATTCAGAAAATATCCTAAACTGCCTCCTTTTGATATTGCCATTACCACCTTTATGATAGGCTAAGCTTATTTTTTTGGATAAAATATTTATAAAGGTACATAGGGAGGCAAGACATTA